CTTTCCCCCGACACTACCCCTCTTGCGTCGAAGACCTACATATTTTTCCAGCTGTGAACGGCTCGAGCTGTTAGCTGACCTGAAGCCAGCGGGGCCGACGTAGGCGGTTCCCATCCGCAGTGCCCTGTGAACAGGAGGAGGAAGAATTGTCTTTAGCAGCCTGTCCCTGTTCTGCCTTTTATAAGGAGGCACTGTCCTGGCCCAGGACACTGGCCTGGGGGAGCCTGCCACTGACCGCATGGGACCTATATTCTCACCATGAGACTAAAGGTCCGATTATCATTTTTTATTTTTTTGCTAGCACTATTATTACATCGTGACATTTTTTTAACTCACTAGGGTATTTGAAGTCTTCTATTAGAAAAATAATAAAATTGTATAATACATCTATGAGCTTCGAGACCACTTTCTGATATAGTCGGCATTTTTTATGATGCCCCTGTAGGTTTTGTATGTAGGAACATAAACTATATAAGATAAAATGAAAAGTGACGTTGAGAAAAATAACCGGGGTTATAACTACAAAAAACTTTTATTTCAGCTTCGGTTGGGTTTATGGAAGGAAAAAAATTAGAAGTAATTTGCATATAAATCAAAACAGAACGCAAAAGGGTCGTGAATTTATCTGACACTTAGCACTTTCTGGTTTTGTTTATTTTGCAGTTGTGACCTTCAAAATAACAAGTTAGGGGGGTTGGAAAAATTTTTAAGTGGAAACAAGGGGGCATTTTATGCGAATTATTTCCGCGTCACATGGCTAATCAGAAGCGGGGCAGTGTGAGCGTGCTGGCCTCTTGGGAATTCGCACCTCGAGCCAGGAATCGGGGTCCAGCTCCGAGGCCTGAGTTGCCACTTGGGAAAACAGTGAAGTAGCCAGGGTGGGCCCCAAAGCCTAGGCTCCGAGGCCTTCGAAAGTCGCCTGATTGTGCTGGGCCCCAAGTCCCCAGAACGACGTGACAATGGTGCCCGCCCACAGGGCTTCGTGGGGCGAGGGGCTGATGGCGTGAGCTGCCGGAGCAGGGCCCGGCACGGGGCGAGGGCACAGTGCACATCCACATTCCTGTCACCATCGCGTCATCTCATTGTCCCTTAACCTGGCGTAGGAGTTCACCAAGCCTCTGAACCGAACCCCCCGCCCCGGCTGTGGTTTCCTGCACTGTGCTGTGAAGACACCCCCCAGGGAGATGTTTGGGGAGATTTCTAGATGCTTACATATGTGCCCCCCGATGTATCTGGGCTGGGAGGGATGACAGAAACCTGGACTATTACTGCAGCTCCCCCAAAAGAATAAAAGCACCTGACGAGAGCGAGGGTCGGGCAGGTGTGTCTCCCGGGATCTAAACCTGGACGGTCAGGGCTCACGCAGATGCCGGTGACATTCCACGGAGGGTCTCAGGGTGTTTGCTCCTTGCTGACGATGTTAAACCGAGAAGCCTGTGAGATTTTGTGTTGCAGCGTGGTTTGGCCCTAGAGCTCTTGCATGCTAACCCAAAGTAGAAGATAGCCTGTTTGCATGCGGCCGGATGCTGCCCCTGACGAGACGAGCATGTGGCGGGAGGCTGACCCCACTCAACCTCCCGTGGCCGAATTCTTCCCCCGTCCCGTGTGTGGCCTCATTCGCTGTGGTACGTGTATAATACCTTCATCATCATCACTAACCGCGATGCTCGTTCAGTTTAGCGATCCGCTGGAAGGCGCGGTCCACGGAGTCGCCCAAACCCGTTCTCTTTCTGATTTCTTCAGATATTAGGTTGAAAAAGCTCGTCGATGAACGGGAATGCCTACTGCAACAGGTAACAACCTTTCTATGACTTTACGCGTTCTCAGACGGGGCGCCTGAACCCGTGAACCTTCCCATCCTTCTTACTCCGTCAGAACCCCTGTAAAGCATCGTGCCGGAAAGTAACTGTCGAGCCAACCGGTGCTCTTGATATTGTCGTCCAAGAAGAGCATCTGAAGCCGTAGGAGGGCGTCTCGAAGACCCAAGGCCGTGGCACTGAATCGCTGCTTAAAATGAATGTTTACGCAAAAGGCCTAGATTAACCATTGGGAGGCAAGGGCGTTACTGAGTCGTTCCAAACACTGCTGCTCCTACTTCTGCTGGTCCCTAAAGGCCGTTGTGTAGTGGCTCAGTGAGCAGCTCCCCTCTGTGGCAGGTCCGTCTCTGCTACACAGTTGGTCCGAGTTGTTTTCCCCGCGGTCTACCTTCCTGGCTCTCTTCCGCCTCAAGAAGTACGAAGCAGTTGTCCCGCGCGGGACAGTAGTCACATCGTTGCACAATCACTTTCTAAGGAAATGCAGTGTCTCTCACTTTCCCTCATAAGCCCAATCAAAGGTAGCTGCCTTACTTTTTACAATTCCATTGACGATGTCTCTCAAAATCGTGCAAGCACTAAATATGATAGGAGTCTCTCGAAGCTCCTGCGATGCTTTAAAAACCTGTGTCCGTGGCAACTCTGTACTTTTTCTTAAAGCAGCGTGCACCTGTGGTTTGCGCTTGCCTAGGGGGTCTTCTTTGCGTGTGTGCGTGTGCATGTGCGTGCGTGTGTGTGCGTGTGCGTGTGCGTGTGTGGGTGTATGTGTGTGTGGAGACATCCACCAGGTCTGCAGAGTGTAGCAGGACGAGGGCTGGGAAACCCCCCGTCACACACAGGAAGTTCCACGGTCACAGCCGTTAGCCGAAGCCAAGTTCCAGCTCCACACATCTGCACGTGCAGGAGGCACACCTGCAGCTCCCTCGGGTTCTGTGGGGGCCTCAGTCACAGCCCTTGCTGGCTCCTCGGTGCACAGAGCAGAGGTTAATAGCGCCCCTGATCGCTGACTCTCAGACCAGCATTTTATGTACAGTCCCCTCTGAATTCAAGAGGAATTTCAACCTTAGAAATGACTTTTCAGCTAGAATTACAAAGTAATCCATGCCCGATATTGTACGTATAATTCCGTTTTTGTCCAATAAGAAGAGTACTAACTGGCAGAAGTTAGTTTATTTATTTGTGTTGATTTCTTTATTAAAGAAGACTCCCTATCTCTCTGGAGAATTGTAACCTTTTATTCCGATTCTCTCGTGCACAGTTATGTAATTCCTGTCTCTTTGGCACCCTAGAGACACACGAAATAACAGCGAGGCCCCCTCCGCTTGTTTCGATGGGGCGTTTTTTCATTTAGGTGCTGCTTCCTTTGCGACGGGCTCTAAACTCAGCTTTTCAGTCTCGTTGAGCATAGAGAAATTAACATCCTTTTTCGGCGGGTGTTTTCAGGTTAAGAAGCTCAAAGGGCAGCTAGAAGAACGACAGAAGCATGGCAAGCTCGACACTGCA